TTCTGTCCTCTCTGAAGATGGAGAACAGTTCATCAGCATCTTCCTCATAATAACGGCCTTAATCCATCACTAAGGCCAGCTCTAATGAACACAGAACTCACCAAGGACATGGTCCTGGTCTGAATATTTCACTGTCACAAGCCTACAAGACAGGACTTGGAATTTGTCCAATTGAATTAACAGGAGCTTTCTGGACACTTGCTCTTCTAGCCTTTCATAGATAAGCTCTTTGTAGGTGGTTGTGCGAATATATCACTCTGTTTTTTTCCCCCGAGGGCTACTTCAAGTGCTAACTTGGGCTTCAGAGCGCCCATGTACTTTATTTTGTGTTTTGAAAAACAGGGCCCAACCGAGATTCAGAATCATTATTAAATAAAAAGAAAAAAAGTATGAATTAGAAGTGCAGTAAAACTCATTTTTCTGTCTTACTAACGAGGAAGGACACATTTCTTTCTGTTCTAGCATGCTTTCAGAGGAAGGCACATGGAGAAATCCGTTGCCAGAGACAGCCTTAGGAACAGGTGGCAGAACAGTCCTCGAACAGCTGTGAGCTGGGTGCTCAGAAAGGCTTCTTTGACCAACTCCCTCTTCTACAAGCTCTGCCCTGAACACCAGAGTCCCCACCATGGGGAGCCTCCCAAGACACAGAGCACTGTTATCAAGGAAGGATAACTTTGTTTTTAGTTCCCAGGGACCCACATTTCTGATAGCCACTAAATACCACCCACAATATATCCAGATAATGAGGGGCTGGGCCACAGCTTGTTAAAATGTAGGCAGAGGGATATGTTGGCAGCCTGGGGTGCCCTCAGCTCCAACGGGCCGGTGGTACAAGGACACTGGTCCCTGGAGGAGTGGATTCGTTTGCTAGGGCTGCCATCACAAGATGCCACAGACTGAATGACTTCAACAACAGAGATTTTTTTTTTTTTTCACAATTCTGGAGGCTATAAGCTGGAGATCAAGGTGCCTGTGGGGTTGTTTTCTTCCGAGGCCTTTCTGCTTGGCTTGTAGATGGCCATCTGCTCCCTGTGTCTTCACATGGTCTTGTCCTCTGTATGTGTCTTTGTCCTAATCTCCTCTTCCTATAAAGACACCGGTCGATGTCCTCATTTGATCTTAATTACCTTTTTAAAGACATTATCTCCAAATACAGTCACATGCTGAGGTACTGGGAGATAGGATACAATATATGAATTTTGGGGAGACACAATTCAGCCCATAACAAGGAGGAAAAGAGGGATGAGACTAGGAATCCACCAGTGTGGGCGCTAAAACAGGTTTGATCCTGAAAGTCTAGGGGCAGGAGTGAAGGATTTCAGCCACCACCTCTCTGCTAATGATTTCCAAACCTCATCATCTGGCTATGACCTCTCTCTCTCTTCCAGTTGCACATTTCCAATAGCCTACTGGACATGTGCCACCTGATGACCTGCCAACATCTTCCACACAGGAACACTCAATGTGAACTCGTTTCTGATTTCTATTATTTCTATTACGAAACTTCCAGGAATTTTTTATCCTTTCCCTCTATCTCACTAAGGTCTCTCTTTGTTCTTGCTTTGTCATGTCTCTTACATCCATTCCCTTTCCTGGAGCTGATGGCTATCACATCTCCTCCAGCCATTATTATCTGGACCACTGAAAACATCTCCCAACAGCCCTCCCTACCTGCAGGCTCTCCTCCCACCAACCTACCCACACATACTATTCTCGGATCAACCTTTTTAAACACTGCTTTCACCAGGAATCTACCTCTGTTCTAAAACTTACCATGGCTCCCTGCTATCACAGGAGAAAATCTTAACTATATAACCTAGTATTCAAGCCCTTCCAGTGTGGCCCCTTCGAGTCTGATAGTCCACTCCTTCCCTGAACATTCTAGAAAAAAAATGGAAATGAATGAATGCCCCTACACAAACCTTCCATTCCATAAGATGACAAGTAAACCACCTTGCTTTCTGTCACCTGGCAATCTGTCATGTATATACTCATGTGTCCAACACTTTCCCCTCTACCTGGTCTACATTCAACCTTTCTTTTAGTCTCAACATCAGTCCTGCTTTCTTCATTCCTACCTTTCCTGCTTACTGAAAATATCTTATTTCACTCAATAGCACTCACTGTCTGTAGTAACCCATTTAGCACATAAGTATGATACTGTTCCATATCTTTTACTATCTCTTCCAGTGTGTTATCTAACTTCACGATTGCATGTGTGAGTACGCCTTATTCCCCACACTCCACAAGGGCAGGCACCATGCGTTATGCCTCTTTGCAATCCTCATAACAGATTAATAATAATAAACAAAACGTTCGTTGAGTGTTCACCACGTGCCAGGCTCTGTGCTAAGTGTTTTCTAGCATTATCTCGTTCAATTCAAACAACAAGGTAGGTACTATTACTATCGCTATTTCACAGATGAAGAGATTGAGGTCAGAAAGTTTGTGTAACTGGCCCAAAATAATTTACCTAGTAAGTGGCAGAACTAGGACTCAAACACAGGTCTACGGGACTCAAAGTCCCTGCTAATGTACCTTTCACGGAGTAAGTGTTGAGCCATATGTTTATGAATTAATTAAGATTATGCCTGCCACCAAAGCAATTGGGATGTGTGGCCGGCAGACTAATGGACCCCAAAGATGTCCATGTCTTGAACCTCAGAGTCCATGAATACGTTGCCTTACATGGCAAAGGGGAATTCAGGTGACAAATGGAATTAAATCACTAATCAGGGGACCTTAAAATAGGGAGGCTATCCTGGATTATCTAGGTGGGCCCAAAGCAACCACAAGGGTCCTTAAAAGTGGAAGAGGAAAGCAGGAGAGAGTCAGAAGTGATGCAGTGTTAAGAAGAATTTGACCTGCCATTGCTGGCTTTGGAGATGGATGAAGGGGCCATAAACCAAGGAATATGGGCAGCCTCCAGAAGCTAGAAAAGGCAAGGAAATAGATTCTCCCCTACAGTCACCGGGAAAGGGTGCAAACCCTGCTGAGTCACACTTTCACCCAGGGAGACTTGTGTCAGCTTTCTAACCTACCAAACTATTAGATGATGAATTTGGTTGTTTGAAGCCACCAGATTTGTGGTAATGTGTTACAGAAGCAATATTTAACTCATTCACGGTGTCTAGATTCCCAGCTAACCCCACATTGTCCTGGTGAATGGGCAATGGTCTGGTGAAAGGTAAACAGGCTGCTCTCTGTAGAACCCAAATAACTGCCTTCCTCCTCCATAACAATTCTTCATAGGCAGAAGTTGTACCACTTCCAAAATCACCTGTTTCCTGGCCTTTCCCACCCTGTCTGTGCACTATTCTGAAAACAGCCTTACCAAGAAGGAAGGACATGAAACTCTGAGTGAAAGCCACATGTTAGTGGCAGAATTCTCTCAGGAAGGTTATTATTACAATCAAAACATGTATGGTATCCTTTTAAAATATCATTACCTAGCGCTTTTACTCCCAAGCACTTCCCATATATTATCTCAGACATCTGTGCCAGCCCTTAAGTGGCATAGATGACAGTTTCAAGTGCACACCATGGTTTTTGGATTGCATTTTTTGAGTCATTTCCAAGAATTTTATTCTTAAGAGGCCCAAATAGCACTGTAGAAAAAAATGTATTTTTCAAAATAGCAGGACAACCAACCTTAGTATTTTTTTGTACTGTTTTAAGTAAATGATATGCAGCTAGTAGGTGGCTTTAGTATAGACTCACCGACTCAGGCCCCTTTTCATAGGGCTGCCCTGACCCTATGGCTTCTAACTTTTTTTCTAGGGTCTTTTATCATGTCTGGGCTGTGGACACACCAGGCAAGGTGGTGGGAATGGGGGGCCTACGACACATTTATGGGTTTGTTGCTGGGATAGGATCCACGTTCCTATTCCCCAATCCCTGTTCAGCTGCCTCTGATGGATTTCCCGTAACTACGTGGGCCCTTCCCACCCCCTCTGTCACTTCTCCTGTAAATCTTGTAAAATCTCTTGTAAATCAATAATGGGTCCATTACATCTCAGCTAGGATCGGTTTGATGATGATGTGCCTATAGCTATCCCCCTGTCTTTTCCAGGTACTTCACATACACATTATGATATAACATGCAGTTTAGCACCGTGGGGAGAGCATAGACTTTGGAGCTAGACCACCTCGACCACCTCGTTTCCAGTCCCGGCCCTACCACTCCTCAGCTGTGTGGCCTTGGGTGCATTGGTTAAGGTCTCTAGGACTCACTTTTCCCATCCGTGGAATGGCAATTTTTTTAAAGATTTTATTTATTTATTCGACAGAAAGAGACACAGCGAGAGAGGGAACACAAGCAGGGGGAGTGGGAGAGAGAGAGGCAGGCTCCCCGCGGAGCAGGGAGCCCGATGTGGGGCTCGATCCCAGGACTCTGGGATCATGACCTGAGCCGAAGGCAGACGCTTAACGACTGAGCCACCCAGGCGCCCCTGTGGAATGGCAATTTTAAAAGTACTTCTTTAGGAGGTTGTGAGGACCGTGTGCCTAGAAGAGTCCTGCAACGTAGCGGGTACCACGTGAGAAACGAGCGCAGTTCAGAAAAGTATCAATTTGCCCAAGGTCACATAAATTTACTGAGGGGCAGAGACAGGATTTGGGAGCCAGGTCATTTTGCCTGCAAGGCCAGGTACTTGCCACCCTGCTGCCACTATCTGACTTTTGTCCCTGACTCCTGCTGAACCAGCCGCGCGCACCCTCATGCTGCCCATCCAAAGGTGAAGCAGGCGGTCTCCCGCGCCCGACCTCCACTCCGGGAGCTCCCCCGGCACGCTTAGAGAAAAGCAGCAGTTGGGAAGCTCGCCCTCCCGCCCGCCGCAGGCGTGCCCTGAGGAGAAGCCGGCAGCCCTGCTCCCCGCCGGCCTCCCCGGCCCCGGCAGCGGCGCGCGAGTCTCCCTCCGCGAGCGCACCCGGAAGCCCGCCTGGGAGCCACGCGGGCGGTGCGGGCGCAGAGCGCGCACCGGGGGCTGCCTGCTGCCCGGGTGCTGCCTGGTGGGAATCCCTCCCCGGCTGGGGAGAAAGGCAGTTGTTTTCCTCCTGGTGGAACGTTCCACTTGAAACTGTTCCACAAGGGCTGTTCTCGCCTCCGACTCGGGGAAGAACTGTAATTAACACAGCAACAAACGCCCACGACGCTAACTGGCAAAGGGAGTGTAACACGAGCCGCTTCTCCGACCGAACTGGGCCAATTGCTTTCCCTTCTTGCCTCCCCATTTGGTCTGTTTTGGTTCCGCAATCATCCAACTGTGGCGTTTCTTAAAACATGTCAGTGGCTGGTGTTTGTGTTTGGGGTTGAACAGTTTCACACACGTCGCTGGAGACGGTGCTCAACCAGCGGCTGGGCTGGGTCCCGGCTTTCCGCGGCTTCGGGAGTGTCAGAAAAATGAAGTGACTAGAAGAAGAGGGTGGAGATGAAGAAGGACGCCGGCCTCCTGCGATCGCCTGCAGTCGGGTCGGAAGCCTCCCCCGGACGCGGACAGGTAAAACCGGTCTGCCGGCTTTCCGGGAGGGGCGGCGGGAGATGTCCTACGTGAGTCGCGTGGTTCCCCGGCCGCGGTGCTCCCCTGGCGGCTGCGCTCGGACTCGGGCCGGGGAGTAGGGGAAGGCGAGCGGCTCACACAGCGCTCAGAGGCCCAGCGCGGCGCGACTACTGGCGGGCTAACCTGGGGTGCTGACCGGGGTGGGGGCGCGGCCAGGGCTGGGGGAAGCCCTCGCTCCCTCTTTCTGGCGTCTTCATCAAAGGTTATCAGGGTCTGGTCCCTGATGCGGCCATTGCATAGAACCTTGCATCAGCCAAGTGTGATCCACTGACCAGAAGCCCCGGCATCACGTGGGAGCTTGTTACAAGCAGAAGGTCAGGCCCTGCCCCAGGCCTATTGATTCACAGTCTACTCTTTAACAAGATCCCTCGGTGATTTCTAGGCACACGAAAAGTTTGTGTTACGTATATACTTTTCTCTAAGGTCTTTTCATCTGCGTCCTGTAGTGTCAACGCATCGCCTTCAAAATGTGCGGAAAAGGCATGGCTTTGGAGAAATGGAACCCTGCCCTCAGCTAAACGTCTGCGCCCTGTTTGATGCTTAACAGCAGCTCTCCGCTAATTACTGCCAAGGAGTAAAGAGTGGAGGGAAGGCAGAGCCCGCTCTACAGTCCAACCCAGAAGAGCTCGGAGATTAGGTGGGGAACCAAAACTCAAATAAGAACTAAGTAATTATACGAGATAATAATTCAAGAGGTTACACAAGGCAGAGTAACTCATATGAGCAGCTTAAACAGTATGTGCTACATATTTAGTGAATTCACTGTGCTAATTAGCTACCACCAATTTTGTATGTGTATGTTCTCTCTATATACAGATTCATACATGTAAACAAATATATGTATATGTGTATATTATATATAGAGAGAGAGAGACAGAGTATGTATTCTAACATGGTGCCTCACACAGAGCAGGTGATCAATATTTACCACGTCAATAGCTGGACCCTATTACAACATATTCTCCTGGAAAAAGAAGAATTTTTTGTTTTAAACCAAACCAACGTGGATCTGTTCCAAAATAAAATGTATTACCAGTAACCAACAGTCCATTTAATCTATTTTTTAAAACATTAACTAGATACATACCTGGCAGAGATACATGGCCCCTATTTAGTAGGAGCCCAGAAGGGCCCAGCATGGCTTCTTCAAAAATCCTGCTAAGTCTTTTATGTCAGAATAACCCAGCATACCTTCTACATGTCCATTCAGGCCTCCCAGACCACAGTATCCTCATAGATTGTTGATTAACTTTTTTTCAGAGCCATTTCAGTCTTACGAGTTATTGATCTGCAAGCCAAATATTTTCAAAGTGAGGCTTCACTGAATGGCCTGGAAGAGCTCCAGTTTATTCTGTCAAGTACTCAAAGTTTCCTAACTAGGCACTTAATTGTGTGAGTTGTGCTTAGTGAATACCAGTGAGAAGCAGGGGTGGAGCATCCCTCATGTCTTGGTGGTTAGAAAGATCTTTACAGTTTTTTAAAATTCGTTTATTCTTTTTTTCCTGCAATGTTTTGTTGGTATTAGCCCACCAAGACATGAGGGATGCTCCACCCCTGCTTCTCACTGGTATTCACTAGGCACAGCTCACATGATTAAGTGCCTAGTTAGGGAATTTTGAGTACTTGACAGAATAAACTGGAGCTCTTCCAGGCCATTCAGTGGGATCTCCTTGAGATATAGGTAAAGAAGGGAAAGGATGCTTTTGTCTAGCACAATTAGGACAGCAATTGGAAAAAAAAAACCCTCTTTAATATTTGCACCCCAACCAAATTAAGGTTTTCAGTTTTACAAGTTACACTTGATTTATGATGAAAGTGTATCAGAGCCTATCTGGATATACTACCTAACAAATACTGTTGAGTAAAGATGAATTGTCAAATGCTAATGAATGAACATTGATTATGAAGCAGTTGATATCTACGGTGTCTACATTCGGAAAGCTTTCTTTGCCTCCACCATTACATTAAAACAAAACCAAAAATTCTTCCCAAAACTTCCAGGATAGCTGAGCAGCAAATGCCCGAACTGAAAGAGAGTAATCCATCTTCAATGGCCAGCAGCATGACTACTTGTCCAGTACCAGTACCATTTATTTGAAAATATTGGGAATCTTGATAGTGGAAGAATTCAAAATGTGCTTCAAATGGGAACTCTGAAAAGTGAGATTTGAAGGGAATGCCTCAGGGAATATTGTTGGTAAACTTTGCAAATAGCATTATTGGTTTGTAAAAGTTAACATATTATCATGGTTTTGGTAGAGCTAAGCACCTGTACTCAGGAAAAAAGAAAAAAAAAGCTTTCATCATCAGTGATGTTGAGAACCAAAAAAATCAGTAATTAGATTTAGAGAAAAGCCAGTGGGAGTTAAAACCATAGTGCTGCAATCAACTAATTCAGAGCCCATTACAATTCTGTCATAGGAGAGGCACCAGTTGCTCTTTTGCTGACACCAACCGAAGGAATAAAAAACAAACACAAATGACTATTTTTTTTAAAGATTTTATTTATTTATTTGAGAGAGAGAATGAGAAAGAGAGAGAGCACATGAGAGGGGGGGAGAGTCAGAGGGAGAAGCAGGCTCCCCACTGAGCAGGGAGCCTGATAGGGGATTCAATCCCGGGACTCCAGGATTAACTATATACAAACCTGGCAGAGATACATGGCCCCTATTTAGTAGGAGCCCAGAAGGGCCCAGCATGGCTTCTTCAAAAATCCTGCTAAGTCTTTTATGTCAGAATAACCCAGCATACCTTCTACATGTCCATGAGCCGAAGGCAGTCGCTTAACCAACTGAGCCATCCAGGCGCCCCATAAATGACTATTGATAATAATAAAAAAGTCCATTGTTCCTCCCTACTGGCTTTTATGATAATCATTTTCCAAATATGCCAGGAAGAGGATTTTTAATGCTATATTAAAAGGAAATATTCTGTAGGAAATGTGTATGAAAAATATCTGTGAGAACATTCACTAAAGAGCATAGAGATTAATAAAGGAATTTTTTATCCCAAGCAGCATTTAATTTTTGTAACCAGAAAAAGTAAAACTACATCTTTAAAAGTAAAAACATCTAAATATTTATTCCAGGGGAAGTATAAGGAACCCAATGCACATATTTAGAGACTACAGTCCTATTATTGTTATAGATGGATGTTTGTCATTCCTCTTGGCCACCCAGCATCTGAACCTCTTCCCAGTGTTTGCAGAACACTCCTACTGAGTCCCCTCTGCACTCCTGAGGCAGAGCTCCTTCCCCACTGTAGAAGTTGGAAATGCCAAGCCCAGGATCGCTCACCCTTCCCGTGGCTCCATTCATTAGATTCATCCCCCTCAGAGTTTAATTAAAAGAGGAAGGGCTGGGGCGCCTGGGGGGCTCTTGTCATTAAGCGTCGGCCTTCTGCTCAGGTCATGATCCCGGGGTCCTGGGATCGAGCCCCACATCGGGCTCCCTGCTCCGCGGGAAGCCTGCTTCTCCCTCTCGCTCTGCCGGTCCCCCTGCTTGTGCTCTTTCTGTCAGATGAATGAATAAAATCTTAAAAAAAAAAAAAAAGAGGAAGGGCTGCCCAAAACTACTGTGGAGACGGGTGTTGGTGCTGGCAGCAGCAACATCTGCTTTTCAGAGGCAGCAAGGACAATTATGGTGGCGGCACCAGTGTCAGGGATCTGAACTGTACAAGCTGTAGGATTTGGTTTCCAGAGAAGGCACTTCTGCAACATGATTTGGGCATCGTTTGGGGCCTGTAGCTTCCCCACAGAGTCTGTGAGCTGCCCAATATCTTTTACATGAATGCTTCAGCTTCCGAAATCATCTGGGTTCTTTGACTGACACAATTATCAATCACAATATATTGGAAAATGGCAAAACAATTGGAGCAATTGTATCCACTAGAAAGAAGTGAAAATGAAATTTTATCAAATCCCCTTCGGGATAAGGATATTCTAAAGGCAGTTCTTTTTGCCACCAAGAAAACTAAGAGAATGACGGGGCCCCTGGGTGGCTCAGTCGTTAAGCATCTGCCTTCAGCTCAGGTCATGATCCCAGGGTCCTGGGATCGAGCCCTGCATTCGGCTCCCTGCTCAGCGGGAGGCCTGCTTCTCCCTCTCCCACTCCCCCTGCTTGTGTTCCCTCTCTCGCTGTGTCTTCCCTCTCTCGCTGTGTCTCTCTCTGACAAATAAAATCTTAAAAAAAAAAAAAGAAAACTAACAGAATGAAACAGATACCTACATACAAATTTAAGTATGGAAAATAGAAGTGACAACTTTTATTTTTAAGCAAATCCTAATTCTTAATAAATTTTTTGAATAGTCATTTTTCCCCCCAAATCTTCTTAATTCTTTTGGAATTGGTGGGAAAAATGGCCAGAGAAATAGAGGAGTTAGAGAATTGTAAATCCATCACTAAGCACAATATTTCAAGGAGACCATGAAAGACAGGCTTGAATGAGAACATCTAGGAAGCTGTGAGTGACATCACAAAATAAGCAAAGGTCAGTTTGGTTGAATGACCTTGAGCATTTTACAAAATGAAATCCATTTGATCTCTCCAAGAAAAATTATCAAAATTCTGTCTGGAAACATTTAAAAACCAGCCAAACATGACACACACTATCCAGAAAATTATGGTACAAAATAATAGTTAACACAAAAATAGCAACAGGAGAAACACCTTTCATTAGAGGATCAAGGGTCAAGCAAACATTCCCTAATTAATCCTTTCAACTGCATCAGGAAGTCAGTATTTAGCATTTTCATAGATAGCACTGGATGTTTTCAAAGTGTTTTACCAACAGTAATTAGTTGTTCTCATCAACCTTTTGAAGTAGGTCAATATCATTATCTCCATTTTAAGAAGAGCCAGGCACTGAATAAATATGTACAGAGACCACTAACATAATCCTCACTGATCAATTCCCATTTTTCTACCACTCCCACCTTTAACATAGGTAAAAGTATCTTCTTAAAATTGCCTTATTTTGATTCCCATCAAAAACCCAATGAAGTGGGCAGCGTTGCCTCCATTCTGCGAATGAAAAAACTGAGGTTCACACACATACATACACATTCCTCACATCAGAGAGGTGGCTGCCTATTTATGTCTGCCTGTAAGTCCTAACTCAACCGCGACCCCAGAGTCCAAGAGGACTGAAGTTGCCCAGACAACCTCCAACTTCTGAGACAATTTCCTTTCGAAAGGGAAAGAAGTTCCCAAGCATCAGTGTCACATAGGATCATGGGTTTTGCAAGATCTCTTCTCACCATGAACAATTTTGAGCTTATTTTATTAATAGCAGATCTATGGACCACCAATCCCCTCAGGCAACTACACAGACCATTTTGAACAGTAAAATGGCACTTGTTATATATGAAAAACAAAACCAAACTACCAGATTCCCTCATGGCTTTTGGAAAATCAGTCTTGTTGAGAATAGTATGAACAGATTGTCTTTAAGAAGAGTAACTCAAAGCCGGGCAATGAGATTTAAGAAAAGAGTTTTGACCAAAACACAATCAACTTAAACCTATTTACAAAGGTTTTCGTCAAATACGGTGTTTCTTTGCAGAAAATACAAAAATTAACCATACAAGTATGTCTTTTTTTTTAATTGTCTGTAATGATACTGGACTTCACATTTTCCTTTTATGAGAAGAAATGGCAGCTGTGTACTTTATTTGTAATTTAGTAGAACTGTTTGTTAAATGTTAGCAATTATAGCAAAATATGAATAATAAAAAAGTTGTCAGAATCTAACCTCCTTTTTTTCCCCACTGCATGAATCTTGACTATATCAAAGCAAAATAAATTGGAATTACTAACATGCTATTTTCCATTCATCTAACTGACAATTAAGCTAAGTGAAGCAAAATTGGCCTTGAAGTATATAGAATTATTCCACATTAAACAGAAAAGAGCTAGAGCCAGTCAGTGTATCTTCAGTCACTACTCAGCAAATGATGTTTTGTTATTTTGGAAAAGCTACTTTAGGAAACTTAAGTTTTAATATACACCATTTTTTAAAACTGTCCTTTCATTATC